CGCCCAAACCCTCTCCTCTTCTTCTTTTTTTTTTTGCCTTTTTTTTTTTTTTTTTTTGGGTTGCTTTTTTTAGGTTCTTGTCATCAGCGAGGTCGAATTGTTCGTGTCGGGATCGGATCGGATTGGGAGAAAAATCAGGAGAGAAACGAAGACTATTGAGAAGAAGAAGCAGATATATAATTCGGGAGACTCGGAGGGGTGTTTGGGAAGTGAGAAAACGAGGGAAAATTATAAAAAAGAAAAGAAAATTTCTTTTTTCCTTTTTTTTTGCGCTTTTTTGTTGGTAAAAGTGCAATATCTGATTCCATCTTGTGCCGACGTGGACGACTTAGCCAGATATTTTTGATCTTCCAAATATCTCATCCTTTGGGTTTACTTCCCCACTTGCTCCCTCAGATTTCACAGCTTACTCGCTGCACCGTTCAAACACGTGCGCAGATTGTGTACCCGTGTTCGAGTTTTGGTGTGGTTTTATCCGAATCCGAAATTACCAGAATAGCCGTCGCGGTTGGAGGCTTCCGAAAGTGTGTCTCTTGGTGGAAGTGCCAAGTTGGCAAAGTGTCTGCGCTTTTTAAGGGTGTTTTGGTAATTTAAGTGTGAATAATTATTAAAGAACCGACTTTTGCGTTTGCGGTCTTTTTGTATCTTTTTTATTAGAGTGTGGAGCATTTTATATGGTCTGGTTGAAAGGTAGGTGGACCAATGGGAAGAGAGAGATGTTGGTGAACAGCTGGATTGTAATCTTTTATTTTATGCGGAATATCTGTACTTTTTGTGAGGGTGATGGTGATTTTTATTTTCTTGGTCGAGGTTGATGGTGATGATGGCATAACTTTAGATGCACACGAATTCAAGGCCTGGCGAAAAACCAACTGCTTACATACAAAATAACCAACTAACAAAAGGTCCTCAAAACCTAACTTGAATTTGATCGTATGTGTTTTTAAAACAACATGTTATGACTTTTTTGGAATGTCAATAATATTTTTTACGTAGGTTTAGAATGAGAAATTTGAGCGAGTTCGAATAAAATCTTACTAGTTGAAGTCCTACTTCGAACTTAACCAGAATTTGATCCAATAGTAATTTGTCAATCTTACCTCAAGCACTATACATAGTGAACTATCAAAGAATGGCCCAAGTTTTGTGTTTTTTCTTTTGGCCATAGTTAGAAAGGGGGAGGGGGGAATTCACACACGGGGGTTTTAATCTACAACCACTAAGGAGCACACCGAAAGTCTAAGTCAATCCAACAAATACTCCATTGATAAGAATGGCCCAAATCCAAGTCTCATGAATGAAAGTTGTTGAATAAGAATAAGAAAAAAAATCACAATTATTTTACAAAGGTTGGGTTAGGCTTGTGGTGTTTATTAGGCATGGGGGAGTTTTGACATTGTTCTAGGCCTAATGGGCTTTATGCCTATCCTGATATAGCATCTTTCCTGCCTTACCATTTCTAGTCCAAAAGCCCACCCATGGGCCAGAGAGCATTTAGGTCTTTTTCTTTTTGGTCAAAAGGGAGCATTTAGGCCTTTGCTTTCAAGCACCACACCAATAGAAATTTCCAAATACATTTACCGAGGCTTCTATGGTGTGATGGATTAGTACCATAGAGTTTCCCCTCACCCCAACATTTACTGAGGCTGTTTTGCTACTGCAGCAGAGAGAAGAGAAGCGGTAGCAAATGGGCATGGCTACCACATCCATATCTCTATCCCCACCAACTTTTTCCCATTTTCTCAAGCCAAGCAATTGTCAATTTCTAAGAACCCAGAAACCATGTTCGCCTTTTGCTTCCCCAACCAAAAAGAGCATAATTTTCCACAACCCACATGATAATTTCACCCAAAGAAGCACCCCAATTTGGCAAATCTATGCAACCTCTGGTGAAGCTGTGCCTGCAGAAGCCGTCCCACTTGAGACTTCCCAGCAGATAGTGTCCACTGGTGATGAGGATGGTGTTTCTATCACCATCTCTGTTCTTCTTTTCATTGCCTTTGTTGGTCTATCTGTTCTCACCATTGGGGTAAACTCAAGAACCCATGTTCCTTTTTGAATTCCAATTTGTTAAGTTACTAAATTTATGGTTTTGGGAAGTAGGTTTTGCTAAGTTTGGGTTGTATTGGATTCAGGTTATCTACCTAGGTGTGACAGATTTTCTGCAGAAGAGGGAGAGAGAGAAGCTTGAGAAAGATGAGGCAACAAACAAGAAGAGTGGAAAGAAGAGGAGGGTGAGAGCAAGGGCTGGGCCTAAAGGATTTGGGCAAAAGATTACTATTGATGATGATGATAATGACGATGACTGAAATGCAATTGCTCTTTTGATTTTTATTTTTATTTTTTTTGGTCTCTTATAAATTGTAATTTATGAAGTTTTCAGTGGTTTGTTGGTGACTTCCACTTGGAAATAGCATGAGTGATGATGATCAAAGGGGCACATTCCCTTGAACTTGATGCATGTAGATTTTACATTTATTGGCAGCAGACCTTGAATGGTTTCATTTTTTATCAACCTTTAATTAGATGCTGTAAATACTGAGTTCTACCCTAAAGCCTAAAACCTGTCTCTTAATCTGATGCATGTGGAAATGTTATGTATGTGTTAGATGGATACAAAATTCTACCAATACTTATTAGCGACTGCCAACTGTACCGTAGTTGCATGCAAACTCTAATATATTTATCAACGGTTGACAATCACACAATACAATGGCAACCCCATATATCGTTCAAGGATTTTTAGTTTCATTGCTCAATCCAATCCCTAATTATCCCCATTGTATCAATCGGTAAGATTCGATTTTGTAACTTATTAATCATAAATCTAACTGCGATTCCGGTTTTTCAATTTTTGGAATATGTAAAATGGGAGGGTTGACTGGCTTTTTCATTGATCTTGTAATTTATTTATGCAGAAACATGCACAGGTTAGTTTATGAGGCCATTCCAGCGTTTGGTTGAGAGCCGCAAAGCATAGGTTTAGGGTAGAGCAAACTTGATGTCTAAACTTTAGACATGAGGGTTTAAGGGTTTAGGGCTTGGGCTACAATAACTGGCTCTAAGAGAGTATATGAAAGCACAACTGGCTTCACGCTTTGGGACATGCTGACCAAATATAATCAGAACCGACCACCATTTTCACAAGTTTTATAATCATTTTTAAGCATAATATAATTCTATAAGTTATCATTTATGCACAAAAGACAACAGAGATCCCTCTCCCCTCCCACATCCGTCCTTTTCACATATTTTTACAGAAGACTTAAAATCTTCCCAGAAGTTGAAATGTTCTTCAAATTGGGAGTTACTGTTTCAAAAATTGGAAGTCGTCAAAATGAGACAAAATTATAGTTTTTGAGTTTTTGGAGCTGCTTTCTATTCACGGGAGGGATAGATAAAAATTCACTACCCAGATAAAGGGTTAAGGAGCTTGTGATGCAGAGAAAATCAGCAATAAATACACGAGATATATAGGCTTGAACAATATACTTCCATAGAAAACTGTACTTTATGTGACTCAGAAAAAACAAAGTCATTACCATACATTTAAAAAAAACTGCGGCCTCGCCTAATCATGAACAGCTCTCCACATGGCAACATTTGTACAGTCACGTCGACATATAAACTACCTCACCATTAATCATTTTTACACCCTTAAAAAACTTGTATAGTCATTTATCTCCTCTGCAGGGGCATCAGGTGTGTTCAACATCTGAACCTCAGCTAGCTCGACTCTATGTATAAACTTTAAACTACACAATGTACAGTTTTCCAGTACAAGCAACAACTTTATTTTCAATCTGCCTCATACCTGTCTTTCAAAGATAGGCAGAGCCAGTCATAGATATAGATACGAGGAAGAGAGACGACGACAAAGAGAGGGAAACACACACTAGCCTCAGTTAGCTGTACAAACAACTTTCTTTCCTACACCACCTAAGCAGGGTGCGAAGACTGAGCAGCAATTCTCCTTTCTGCACGCATCAAAGTACGCAGTAAGAAAGGTATCTCTAAAGAATGAATCATGCCATATATGCTATTTTGGAAGTTAATCAACTATAATTATGTACTATGTATTAAGATAATGTACTACATACTGCAGGGAGATGTGTCTTTACTACGGTAAACAAACAATCAGGAAAAATCAAGTACATAGATGAATGCATCCACAGAATGATAAAGCGGTCCTTTCAGTTTGTTAAGTTTGGTCGCACATTCATATAGCAAAATGTGTTATAGGGCTGAAACTTGTACTTCTGTAAAAGGCAAAGAGTAAAACAAAAGAAAAACAAAAGCCAGGAATAACACTCAATGGCTTGCATGCCAGATAAAAGAAGCATGATCTTGTACCAAGCATAAAAGCCAGGAAAATCACCCCAATTAAAAATTAAAAAATTGGCATCCAAAGATACATACAGATATTTGTACATTCAGTCATACAGCAATACTCATTAATATATATCCATATACATACACATATACACATATATATATATGTGTGTGTGTGTGTGTGTGCGTGCGCACACATGCGTGCAAGTCATGAACATATGCAGTTTACAGACATAGATGTATAAAAATGAGAAGG